TCACCCAAACCCCAGTACCCACTTTACAGACTGTCAACCGTATCCCTAACTATCCCAAACTACCAATCCAGATGGCCTGGAAGGGATTTTTTCCCCTGGTATCTGCAACTAAGCAGATCCTTTTCCTCTAGTTCTGACGGACTCAGTCCTGGCGGCCTGGTTGGTAGAGTGTCTTGCCATACAGCGGTCCTCGTTCAGTTTTTGCTAGTTCTCTGGTAGCAATCTTTTACGTAGCACCTTGAAGATCTGTTCTACCTCTCTACTCAGGTCTTGCCAAGTGGGCGTCCATCTTTCCGATTCCTTAGATTAACACGATCCGGAACATTTTGTATAACTCATACATTACACAGATGCCCTATGATCTTCCAATCTTGTTGGTACCACCAAGATTACAGAGATCCCGTTCGAACCGATCGTCAAAAAACGGTAGCCGTCATACAAATAGAATATTCGAAATTCGTCGCCAATGGGTTTCGAACCCCCTACCTGGCCGACATATCACTTGGGGGTGCGACAACTTAACTACTTCACTAAGTCACTACACCCTATATGTTTTTGTTTGTTTTGGTTTGTGGGAATGTATTACAACACTTTTTATTTCTTCTCGGGAATAGTTTAAATGCTTTTTTCTTTCTAACAGGTAATAATTGTATATTATTCAGGAAAGTTATGCAGTTTTCGCTTCTTATATTTTTGTATTGAAAAATAAACTTATCATTATATTATTAGAATTAGGATAAGTTTATTGTATATAATTAGTTTTGGGGTATGATTAGTAGTAGTAGAATAGTTTATATTATTGTTATATGAATACTTTAAAGATATTTGTTATACAAACATTTAAAATAATCATTATATAACTTTTATTGCATGGCAAATTTGTTCTATTATTAAAGTATACCAAATGTATATATATATTACCTATATTATATAATACAATAGAATAGCAATAAATCCTATATACAAATTATAATACTGTAATACAATAATATAAATTTTTAATCTATCCAATCACAAAATACAATTGCTTTTTGAATTGTTTCTGGATTTAGTGATCCACACTTTTTAGTATTCATGTTTGAACCTTTTGAGAATAGTCTTTCGGATGGTGTACTAGTTGCAGGTATAGCAAGGTAATCATGTGCTACAAGTGCTAATTTTGGAAACTCTGTAGCATACATGTTCTACCATTGATATACGTCTATATTAGAGTCGACTACAAGACTATTTAAATATAAATTAATTTCATCTATATTTATAGAATGATGAAGCTTTCTGAAAACTCGATTAAGATGACTGCTGCTAGTATTAGAAGTATTACTACTTTCTGGTACTGTGTAGTCATAATTATATTTACTATATACTTTATTTAAGCATTCAATTGCCCAATCAATTCACTCACTGTTCTAATCACTTATTTCGTAATATGCTTTTTTAAATCTTAGATCTAATAAGGTTGTTATCGCATAGATAGGGCTATTACTTTTGGTATAATAAACTCTTAATTTCTCAAGTGCTGCTTTAATAGCTTCATTAATTATTGGTGACAACCCTTTTTCTAGCATTTCTTCAAGATCATCCATAATTAAATTAAATACTAGAATAGCAAGAGATATAGTTACATATGATTCACTACATAACGTCTCAGATATATCGTGAAAAGTTTTTAAAGATAATGAAATTTCTTTTAACATATCCTATTCTCGTGGCAGAATACTAAATGTGTTTAGCTCAAGAACTTCACTAACCATTTTATTGATTGCTAGAGCCATAGTAATAGCTCATTCAATCATATCAAGAGTTGAGTTCCACCATGTTTTTAAGTCAAGAACTGGACTCTTATATTGTATTCTGAGAGATTTATATAGTTCGCTTAACCTTTGACGATATTGGGGTAAATGCCGAAGCTTTGCGATAAGCTTACAAAGTTTTTTAATTATTAGGATATGAGGAGTATTAGAGGTGTTTGTTTGGTCCAAAATATTAAGATCTTTGTTTTCTTGGTCTGGTGCTTCGGAGCGTAGATAAGATAAAAAATCTTACAAAGCAAGATTAATAATATGAGCAAGACACTATACATGACCTTGTCGCTTAATAAAAGAACTACCAATATTTGTAGAATATGATTCAAATACTTCAATAAATATATTGTTATTAGAAGCATTGTCAAGTGTTATACCAAGTATTTTGCTAGTAATACCGAAGTCTTCACAAATACTCATTAAAGAATTTGCTATATTTATCCCAAAATACGATCCTTCGAATGGCGCAAGATCGAGTATGTGATATTGAATTTTCTAGTTATCATCAAGCCAGTGTGCTGTAATGTCTAAAAAAGCTTTACAGCTCTTACTAATCCATATGTCTATAGTAAGTAAAATTTTACTCAAGTTATTTCCCAGTATACCCTTTAACAAGGCTTTTGATACTGAGTATCATGCTAATAGATCTCTTTTTACCGTTCTTGCAAATGGAACTGTAATATCACATTCTAATTTTCTAATTACTTCAAATAATTTATAAAAGCTTTCTGATTCTACAGTAACAAATGGAAGGCTATCCTTTACAATCCACTTAACCAATGTTTCTCTAAGAATATGCACACTGGACTAAAGAACTACAACAGCTGACGCTTTAGAACTAGCCACGTCCGGGATATTCATTTTGTAAATATTGATAATATGGCTATACAGATTAGAAGTATCACTATTATTTATACTAAGATATTTTGTTCTTGGACATAGTTGATATCTTGCTTTTTTTTTACCTATTTCTTCATCATTAATAGAAGAGTCAAAAAATAGCCATACTGGAGCTAGTACATGCATACTAGTAGTAGATATCATTTTTTGAAATTAGAATAAACAAATTAGTAGTTTATTATTTTGAACTATCTTGTAATACTAAATTATTTTATTTTGTTAACCGATTGATCCTATTTATTAATACTGAGGGTTTGCATAATCAAACAAGCACATAAAGATTATATAGCAAGCATAACAATCACGCATAAAGATTATATAGCAAGCATAACGATTATGCATAATGATTTTGCATAAATATTAAATAGCGATCAAGTAAATATAATGATCACACATAAAGTTTAAATAGTGATTGAGCAAGCATAATGATTACGCATAAAAATCAATAGCGATAAAGTATAATGATCACATATGAATTTATATATTGATTATTTTCAATCCAAAATTTTACTGTATAGATTTCTATTAAATACTAATAAAAAAAATATTTATATATAATAAAAAATTTTTTAAAAAATAAATTATTTTTATTATTATTATTAAATTATTTACATCAAGTATAAAAACTTAGCTCTAACCCTATCAGTCCTATAGTAGAACTATCCTAACCTCAATCCTAACTGAATATTATCACATAACAAGCACATTAGAAACAGCCTAATTACCATCAACATTATGGCACGAATGCATCAAAATATTAAATAATACTGATAGATAAATCTACTACTAACAATAATAATACTGAAAACTAAGCGGCAGAAAACCTAGCGGTGAATTAATTTTTTACAACAAAATATAAGTAGAGACTATATAACCTCCAGAATAATAAACGTGATTATCACCTGTTAGAAAGAAAGAAGAGTTTGAGCTATATCTAAAAAAAATAAAAAAAAGTATTAGTAATGTATCTCTACAAATAAAAACAACAAAAAACATCATACACTCCTGGAATATATTAGAATTCAAAGAATTCAAAGAATGTCTTCAATCAGTACTTGGAAAAAAAGAAAGTTATATATTTATTCAAGAAATTCAAGAACCAACATGGGGGCTGTCCATAATTTATGTTAAACAAGTATTCTAAACAAATATATGTACGTGTATACGTATACAATACATGCTATCGAATATAGAAATACTTCTAACCAAAATACAAAACCTGTTGCCCGGCTTGACTTGAAAAATTTTTGAACCTTCGATTAAAAAATATTGTCAGCAAAAAAGCAGGTTACATCATACGACCCTAGTAACTTGTAAATCAGATATAACGTGTTTTTTTTTTTTTAATATTAACAATTTTTTTATAGATTGTAAATTGTAGATTTGTGTACTGAAAATAGTACCAGGAATATATTCTTTTTTTTTTTCTTTTTTTTTAGTTATTCTTTTCTTCTACTAACATTTTCTTACATATTTGTGTTTCGCTAGAATCTAGTAATGGCAGCAGAAATGATTTCAGATAAAATGGCAGGGTAACAGACTCCCTTAAAGCAGTCAAACGTCTCTTCATATAATTAGTGATGCGAAGAGTAGATTAATGAGATTTCTATTGTCTCTAACCAGTACACAAATTTGTGGCAAGATGTGTCCTGATATTTTTCCGGGGATCTTTTTATTAAACGGAATTTAGAATCTATAGCCGGAGGTAGTAACGATAGTAACAATTAGTTATGATGTAAGAATGTATTAAAATTTTGACCAAACGAAAAATTTTCGATTATCAAAAAATTGTACTGGAATTTTTTCATGATTTACTGGAGCTCCAGTATTTTACAGTAGAATTTTGTGCTCTGTCTCTAACCACTATCTAGAAAAGCCGCAACCAGAGTAACAAACAGGCTTGGCAAAATCAGCAGGAAAAGAGACCATGTTGAGTTTAACTCTAGTTGACAGTATGGAAAAATGTAGGTTTTTTATTTCTTTACTAGTTTTCTGTCAAATTATCGGAATTAACTTTTTTCTTTCAGT